CACTACAGTTGTTAAGTTAGTAACACCATTGTTAAGTATATCTGGCTTCTTCCTTGATTTTCCTTGTCAGAAAGTCACAAAAGGTGATCAGATGACTTCGGGACACTGCATCTATCATAAATACCAGTTACCAACCATCTGAATTCTGGGGATGCTGCAACAGTTATAAGTGTGAAAACCAGTCATGAGAAACATTTTTCAGTGCCATTGTAACTTTGAACAGTCACTAAACGAATGGTTGTAAGTTGAGGACTACCTGTACTTAGGGAAAGCTAGAACAGTAACAATTTAATCATTAAAGACATGACGAGACCTTGAAACAGCCATCATCTCAGCCAAGCCTAACTAACAAACAAGCATATGCCAAACCACAACCAATTCCCCTTTCTCCAACACACAGTTCTTTCAAATAGAATATTTTCCAGGATTTAGGAAAAAAAAGATTGCAAAGAAAGAAGTTCTAGATTTCTTATAGTAATGATTAGTTTATTTTTAAAGAATAAGCATTTTCACTTCTTTTTACGATTTTCCTGGCCTACTAAATGTAGTCTTTTGAGTGGATATAAACTATTTTTGCAGAGTTTGAAACTCTGTAAAGAGACCAGTGTATGCTATTGATTACAATGCCATTATTTTGAAATAAGCTATTCATTTATCATAGATAACACCCGGGGAAATCTGGGAAGGTTGAATGAGAAATAGAAAGGTTTGGCATTTAGATATGCTGACACCAAATGATCCTTCTTATCAGGAAAAAGATGAGAAGGCCAATCCTTTTGGATAACTTAAGTCATCTCTATTCTCTTTCTCTTCCAATGCTGACCTTGCATTTAGCAAATACTGCTGTCTCTGAATGATTTAAGTTCAGGCAAATTACAAAATATTCAGTCACAGGATATGCCATGATTTAACCACAGTTATAAAGTATGCCATGATTTAAAACCAAAAACAATCTAGGATGCTAAAAAAAAACATTGATCAAATTAGCATTTGCATAGATTAACAACATAATCATTTAAAATGAAGAGGAATAAAAATCAGGAAGCTTGTCTTAATGAAGGTGTCACAACGACGTATCCTTTGTATTCTAAAGTTCAGGAACGTTGCTAAAGAAAATAGTATGCTCCCGTCCAAGGCTGGCAATAGTTCTAGGCTGTCTTGGTGCCTGCTTGGTAGGCCAATAATATCCTGGACCAGGGACTTTCTGTACAGAATGAGATACAAACAAGAATTCTATAAGAAAACAATAACAATGCTAGTATTCACAGCTCAGATCTTGTTTAAATCACTCTGTCTTTTTTTAAAATTTCTTGCTACCCCAAAAAATAAAATAAAACCCACCTCTAGAGCAGGTACTACTTGGACCTGTCTATGTGGAATCAGTCTGAGTTAAAGAAGATCATCTAGGTNTATGTACAAATGACTACAATTGAGAATTAATTCCATTATATATATGGAATATATTATTGGAATATTTAGTACACCTGTTAATATGGTCCACCCTAAATGTCTCATGGAACTTCTTCAGTGCGCTTGGGGAATTTCCTAAGGATTTGGCATGCATCTTTATCTTGGCCCTGGTCAATTTCTACCAAGTTCTTAAAGACCTGGCTATGCACCTGGGTCTGAAGTTTGGAGTATATGAAGGCTATATTAATACCAATTACAATATCTCTCAGCTGCTAATTGCATTTAATTTCTTTTTTATAATCATTTTGACCGTTTTAATTGTTTTTATTATGGTGGCTGCCCAGAGTCAGTGGTTTGAGAAGGGAAGCTATATACAAATTGAATAAATAAATATGTAAAATTAATAGGACAAGTACTGAATGAAATTTCTCCCACAGGTTCTCCTTCTGGATAACAATCTCAAGCCACTCCCTGGCTCTCCGAAGAGCTATGAGAGATGAAGTATGTTAAAAGATGCCTGCAATAACAATGGGAAAAGAATGAGATATTATACCTTAATTGGACCAACATGCTGGCAAGAAGAGCAGCAGAGCATGTCTATCATCTTCATTCTGCCCTCCAGTTCTTGCCTGACATCCAGTCTCAAGCTAAATCTTATTCTTTTAGGGTAGGTTTGGAAGAACAAGTTGTCTGCAGGCTGTTCTGCTGTTGTTGCAGACTTCTTTAAGGATAAAGCCACTCTTGTTCTCTTAGGTCTAATGCTCAACTAGACAGGAGATATGTGCGATGAGAAGGGATGATGCTTCACAATATTCTTTTGAGTTTGTGGAACCTGAGGACATGGATAAGGTGCTCGGTAATATTAGCTTTGCCTCTTGTGGGTTGGATTCATGCCACTTCTGGCTCTTCCAGGTTGCCAGATGCGATATGTACAGCTAGAGCTGGAAAGTGATTGATACCCCTCTGAGGGAAATAAGATACTACTTGTCTTGAAGGAGGCAGTGGTAGGCTCTCTGGAGACCATCTCTCTTCTAAGCAAAACCCCACTGCATAGACTCAGATTCCAATTTTCTTTTTTTCAGTGACATTTTTTGAGAAGGCAGTGTTGAATCAGCTACAGAGGATCCTATAGGAATTCGAGTCAGGATTCAAGCCCAGAATAGAACATTATGGCCATGTGGACTTAGCAGCATTTTGCTATTGTTATTATCCTTTTAGACTGACTTACATGGGCTGAGAAACTGAAGGAACCATCTTAGAGCATTTCAACTCCTTCTTCAATAAGCAGATCCACTTGGTAGTAATAGAAGCAAAGCAATCAAACCAGTGGTTGCTCCAATATGGAGTGTCTTCTCCATATACTATTGAACATTTATATAAAAGTGCTGTAAGAAATTATTTCTTTATGTAAGTGAAGTATTGTCAATGCACAGATGACTAGCATAAGCCAGGGAAATAAAGATTTGGAAGTGTGTCGGCTGTGAGAGAAATATCCCTTATGGTCGCTGGTCTGATAGCTTTCCCTCTGAATGAGCAAGTGTGTGATTGGGGTGGGTGGGTGTTGGATTCATGCTTCCTACTTGAAGAGCACGTGGACTCTGTAGATAGGGAGACTTTTCTTCACCTTTAGCTAGTATGCCCTGCCTAGATCAGGAAGCACTGGCAACAGTAACTCACACTTATCACCACCTGTTCAGGCTCTTAAAATGTGCTTAGATAGGGCTGCCTTTGAAGATGACTCAGAAACTATGAGTGATAAAGAATGCAGAGGTCAGTCTCTTAGCAGGATAAATCCACTATTATAAAATAACACCTTATAGAAATTTGGAGGCCGTGATTCTGCATGGACTGTAAGGACACTTAGAGAAAGTCCACTCAAGGTCCAGGTCTCTGAGACATGTGCAAGAGCTTCAAGTCAGTAGGTGGACCATCTCAGTGGTTGCCCACATATTATGGAATATGATGACTACAAAGGTATAATTGGACACTTCTCTCTTGGCATTCAGAATATTTCTATTTAAACCTTTTGGTATTGAACAGGCATTCAACATTTAGTTGATTATTATTGAGAAACCATATTTTTAATTGTGGTGTAATGATGGCGTTATGCATGTATTTACCATTGTGGGGTGTTTATTTTGTCTCTTGCATTGCTATTTTTTGAAGAAATGAATAGATAAAGTGAAGTAAAACAAAATATGAAGTAAACTGCCAGCAAGTTAGGAATTAGTATTTAATTAGAAGATACAATTAAAAACCAACCAAGGAAGAGCTGTGTTCTTTCCTGGTTCATCCATTTTTTGATCTTGAAGGTACCAGATAATTTGGCTAGCAGACAAGCAAAGAATTGTCCACTGCAATGGTGCCTGTACAGGAAAACTACAAATGATTGATGATTTATATATCACTTTCTTGTATTACATTTTCTTAAAAATTCTACATAGTGCTGTCCAGGAGAAAAGATGCTAGGCTGGAAATTGATGGATTTTTCTCCATTTGTGCTTTAAGTAATTTTATTGCTTTCAGGTTTTCACTCTCATTTGTCTGATCTCCATATCAGCTTGAGATTGTTTCAATTGTACAACAATATTTCTTTTTATGCGCCCCTCTCTTTACTCATGTACACTAGAGGATTTTTACAATGCAGCCTTGGCTTTTATATACATTTTTGCAATGTTGTTATTGTAATGTATTTTTATGTTGTTTCAGTAATATATTCATGGAGGGTTACTTTTCCCTAGGATCTGCAACTTGCTACATATTATTATTTTTTTGATTGAAGAAGTATACTGCAAAGTTCAGAGAAGGGTACATTGAAGGCAAGAATTGGGTCTGATTGTCTAAAATATTGAACTCAATGTATTTATTATCAAGCCAAAAATTGGCATTATCGCAGCTTGGAGATTCTGGAAAATACAAGGAATTTGTTTTGATTAAGTGATGTTTCTAGAGATTCTCTTTCTGCCTCAAGTAACTGTAACAAGAATAATCTCTTCTCTCAAAAGGCTCCATGTAAATAATATTGAGGCAAATGAGAAGTGGCAACTTGGTAAAATGTCATAGAGCATGTATAAGGTTTCTTGCCTAGGCAGGGGATTGGACTAGAAGACCTCCAAGGTCCCTTCCAACTCTGCTATTGTATTGTATTGTATTGTATTGTATTGTATTGTATTGTATTGTATTGTATTGTATTGTATTGTATTGTATTGTATTGTATTGTATTGTATTGTATTGTATTGCTTGTCCTTTCAGAAAATGGCTGCCACTATAGACCTGCCCAATCACAGATATTTGCCCAAAGGACTAAGGCTAGGATTCAATATTGGCTAGGGAGAACTGGGGAATGCAAAGTAGAGGCTGAACTGAAAGAACTGGATTCTCTTGCTGCCAAACCAGAAAGACCCAACCTAAAGTAGCCAACAGGAAGTGGGCAGATCCCAATCATTAGGACTTAAGTGACCACTTCCTCAGCAAAACAGCCAAGGAAGCATACCAGATTTATCGGATTAAGACAGAAAAGAATATTGTTAAACCAAAACAACTAAAGGTAACTTAAGGCTTCCTTTGGCATACACAGAGAATCAGATGAAAATGAGAGGGTGCAAAGAAAGAAGTTGGTGGAGCATGTTGATGGTATGAAAAGATGCAAGCGAAATTCTAGGGTGTGGATCTCCTCTGCTGCATACAGTTGACCTTTGTTCTCAAGAGTGCACTATCGGTTTATCACTGCCACAGCCCTCAAATCTTTTTCAAGTCAAACCCAACCCCAGTGCAGAGTTGTAAAAATTTCTGCAAGATTACTACAATGCTACCACAGCCTTTTCAACATATGAACAAGCAGCTTCCCCCCAACCTTTCTGGCACATTCGTATTATCACTTGACATTCTCATTTGACTACAGAAGTGCTGAAGGGCTCTGCCAGCTGAAGTTTCTGAACTTTGAGGCTTGCTTTCAAGTTAATGAATTTTAATAGCACATGGGGGAGGGGGGATAGTAGTGCAATTAAGATTAGGGAGATAGGTAGTAAATTAATGTTAAGGAATAATAAAGGACTATACTTTATTCTGAGAAGTCGATTTGCAAGATCCCCTTTGATAATGATTAGTAATCTGGAGAGACTTTGCTCCATTTATCAATGATTTGCTTCCACTGAAATTCTTTGCTGACTCAGGTTTTCCATGTTATATTGTACAAATTGAGGCAGAAATGTCCTTTGGGAGCAATATACTATTGGAAACCTAGAAGTAAAGGCAATGAATGAACTGGATATGAGGAGAACTTTCCCTAGATTAAAGGTCTCCATTTCAGCAGGATGCCTTGAGCCAACTGAACAGTCTGGGCCCCAGAACTGCCCATCACGGATGGCTGCAACATCACAAGTTGAAGCAACACACATTTTCTAAAAGGGGAGGAGAGGCATTAATCCATTTCTGCGAATGCCTTCCTCTCATAGTCTGGGGAGCCCATTTTCATGGCTTCCAGAGCCCATTTAAGTTCTGCCAAAAGTTAATGGCAAGCCCTTCCCACTACAAAGCTTTTGTGTGCAGTCCCTAGACCCCAAAGGGCCCTTCGCCTCCTTCCCAGATGCCTAATACCATCAATCTTCACTGACTCCCTCCCTGTATCAACCTGGCATGCTTATTTCATGCCTATTTTATTGCCACAGTCAATCCCTAAATTTTGCACATTGTTGTGCATAATACAGGGAGTCCTCGATCACAATTGGGTCCAAAATTTCTGTTGCTAAGCAAGACAGTTGTTAAGTGAACTTTGCCCTATTTTACGACCTTTCTTGCCACAGCTATTACGTGAATCACTACAGTTGTTAAGTTAGTAACACCATTGTTAAGTATATCTGGCTTCTTCCTTGATTTTCCTTGTCAGAAAGTCACAAAAGGTGATCAG